TCCTATAAGGAAAACTATCGCAGGTCTACTGAAATCAACATTAGTAGAACTAGGGGCAAAAAATGCTGACAATATAAAAGCCAGGTTCAAGGCAACAGGATTTATGCTTAACGATCGAGAAGCTGTTTAAAACGAACCCTTTCTTATGATAGGCCTATTAAGGAAATTGCCATCGTGTTAAAGGATAGGTTTGAAACAACAAGCTATGTCAAACCAATTATGTTCAGCATACGGAAGAAACTAAACTTTGCTCAAAGGAGAGCATCTATGTAGAGCAGGGATGCACAGACTTATTAAGACTAGGAGCCACTCGGGCAAATCATGAATGATGGCGGGCCGGCCGCCAGAAGTATAGGTTATTAAAGACAATAAAGAATTGATAATAATTTATTAAAATTGAAAAATAATTTATTAATTTGAAGCGTGGCACTGCATAGTGCTTACAATCTTTTTTATATTTGGCTCAAATTTACTTGTAGCAACACGTAAAACTGCTTCCAAACTTTCATTTGCAAGGCGGTTTCGATTTTTTGTTTTATTATTATTTAGTATTGAAAAAGTTTGTTCACATATATAGGTAGAACCAAAGAAGCTGGCACATTTCAGAGCGTTTATGCGCAACTCTTCGTACATATTTTTATCAATGCAGCGGTAAAAGTTCAGCAAGTCTCCTTCGTTGAATTTGTTGCGTAAATCTTGGTCGTTTTGAATGTCGATAATTTCTAACTGCATTGACTCTGGCGCATTTTCAACTGAAATCGTGAAAGGATTGCTAAATATGTCCAACAGAGGTTTCACTTTTTTAAACTCCGAAAACCTTTTTCAAAAGATTGAATCAAAATATCTAGCTTTTTTACATAGCTGAAATTAATCGCAGTTTTGTTGAATTTTTCAGCCATTTTCTTATAATTCGGAAAATGATTGTAATTTCCAGAATTCAACTGTGATCTGGAAAGTGTCAGCTTGCATTGAAAGGATGATACATGAGCGTAGAGCTGGGATATCAGTTGATTGGGATTGTCAACTAAAAAAGCCAAATCATACAACCAATCATAATATTTAAGTTTCGGGACATCCCTTTGCTTTTCGCCAGAAATATTCCAATTTCTTTTATTAAATTTAGAAATCGTTCCAGTGTCAATCCACGACTTAGCCACCTTACTTCTGTATAATACAGTAAATCTGCGTATTCGCTTTCGATGTCATCAAGGAATTGTTTGAATTGTCTGTGATTGAGTCCTGGTGATTTTATGAAATTTACAATCGAAACTACCACTTTCATGACATTTTGAAATTCAATTTTTTTAGAACAGAGGGCTTCTTGGTGTATAATGTAGTGAAACTGCATAAGATCTTCAGCGTTTATGTTTTTTCTTGCAGATGCTTTTTCAGCAAAGTAACTAGCCCGGAATTGACACCAATCATCAAAGGAGCACCGTCAGTCGCAACTTCCAATCATTTTGAGTCCAAATCAGTTTTTGAACACTCATCCAAAAGAACATTGAGTATATCAACTCCTTTGGTTTGACCTTTCAATGAACACATTCCTAATACCTCTTCTAAGACTCTAAGACTTCAAAATCTTGAGTAACACCTCGTATGAATATGAGAAGAATAATATCAGTGAATTCGTCGAGTGCTAATGAAAAAAAATTCAATGATCTTAGTTTTTTCAATTAATTGTTCCGCAATATTACCTGACAAAGATATTATTTGTCTTTAGATAGTCATACATTCAGTTGATTTTTCTCAAACTTTTTTGATGCTTCTGGACACATTTTCTTAGCGGCAATTTCTATGCATTCTTTTACAAAATCGCCATCATTGAAGGGGCGACTTCGCTTTGCTATCATTCGAGAAATTTCATAACTAACTTCTGTAGCTGTTTCTGAATCTTGAATGGGTTTTGTGAACATAGCTTGCTGACCAATAAGCTCCCGTTTTAAAGACAACATTTTTTGCTTTCTTAATTTGCCTGTAAACTTGGTAAAGGAAGGATGCTGCGTTTCATAGTGCCTTTTTACATTATATTCCTTTGCAATCGCAACAGAATTCTTGCAAATTAAACAAATGACTTTGTTATGCGACCATACAAAAAGTATTTCTCAGTCCAAATTTCTTGAAACTGCCGATTTTCATCTTTAACCTTACGTTTTTTACTAGGTCCTGGCTTCTCCATGTTGCGTTCTAATCCTGGCCACGATTAACATAGCGCCTGAAAACAATTACAGGACCTACTTAAATTACCCATCCTTTTTTTAAATTATCAAAAATAATTGATTGAATATTATTCCTAAGAACATTTAAGAGTTTTATACATATTTTATATCTGAAATAATGACGTAATTATTACAATTAGAGAAATTCTGATAAAAATAGTAATGTCTTTGTTTTATTTTAATATTTGACCAACATTAAAGCTAAATTTGATTAAAATTGATTAAATAGGTAGGAAAACACTTATTAATAACAGAGTTTTACTTACGATTTCAGAACACAATTATACACGGCACTTGACGGGTTAACACTGCAATAGTAAATCGACGTGTAAAGGTCGATTCAGACACATCAGTCACGTCTCGTCACAGTGATTGCGCCGAACCTATCAATCCGTCATACAAAATATTCTTTAATACAAATAGGTTGCCGGCATTCACACTCATCAGTTGACAAACAGTTACCCAGCTGTCAGATAGTTGATAGTTCTGTGACCAAACAGGACCGGTTCGGTGCCGAGACTATGACGGGACTGATGTGTCTGAATCGACCTTTAAGGTCGAATCAGACACATTGATCCCGTCACAGTCTCGCCGTCGAACCGGTCCTTTTTGGTCACAGAACTATTAATTATCTGACAGATGGGAAACTGTTCGTCAACTGATGAATGTGAATGCCGGCGGCATATTTCTATTAATGAATATTCTGTATGACGGATTGTTCGGTTCGGCGCCAGGACTGTGACGAGACGTAACTGATATGTCCGAACTCTGAATCGACCTTTACTGTACTTTGTGCATACGACTGTGGAAGCTTCGTATTCCTACGCGAGCAATCGGGAATTCGAGACTAGTGCTATCTTGCTTGTTCGCACCGCGCTAGAACATTCTTGATTTCTCTACTATTTTAAACTTTTATTTATATAAAGGCAGCAAGTGATGTTAATTGACTTAGCATTTTTGGGCACTAGATTCAAATAGCAGGCGCGAGATTCAAATTACTTTTCGAACATTTTTTTTGGTTTTATTCTGGAATAGAATTCAATAGTTTTCGAATGTACAAGAGTATTATTTTTGCTGTCGGCGGGCCACCAGTATTCGTCCAGTGGGCCGCATGCGGCCCGCGGGCCGCGGTCTGTGCATCCATGATGTAGAGGATTTAGAAGCCAGACGAGACAATGGTGGCTATACGACTATATAATCAAAAGAGAAAAGTTAAAATAATCTGAAACTACGCAACTCTAATAAATTCAAACTTTCTTTTGAGGGTAAAATATTTATTAAATTTCTATCTGCACTATCAACTATAGTCTTAGGTGATCTCAATGCAAAGATTGGAAAGGCACAAAGCGGAAAGTGTAGAGGAAACTATGGTATGGGAAATAAAAACAAGATCGTATGTTACAATTCTGTTAAGAGCAGAACTTAATTATTACAAACACATTTTTCAAGTTAGCAAACAGACGACTTGGCGATAACTCGCAGATACACCGGAGAAAGTAGTCAGAAACCATATAAACTACATTATGCTGGATCAGACATGGCCTTAGATCACAATCCACTTCTCGCCAAGATTACACTCACAATAAGAATATTAAAAGACTTCCAGAAATTTATACAATAGACATAAGAATACTTAAAAAACCTACAGTAAAAGAATGCCTCCAACATGAAATACTTGTGAACTGCAGCAAATTAAACACAAACACTAATGATATTGATGAGTACTAAATTTGACTAAAGCGTTATCGACTCGAACCCTGTAAAGAAATACTAAAGACTTCCGCAAGAAGAAACGAAGACTGGATGAATACCGAAGTACTTAATAAGATGGAACAACAGAGACAATTTAAACACAAGGACAACAATATATACAGAGAGATAAACCACGAGAGCAGAACGATAATAAAGTAGACAAAAGCAAAATACTTTGATGAGAAATGCAAAAAGATCGAAGACCTTCAAAATAAATATATATGATTTGTTTAACCTACACAAGAAAGATAAAGAACTGACAGGACTAGAACACGACACAAACAAAGAGGTTCTGAGAAGGATGAATAAATAAATAGAAACTTTAAATACAATTAAAACAAGAAAATTGGAATATTTCGGACATATTACACGTGGAGAGAAATACACCTTGCTTCAATTGATTATACAGGGAAAGCCTCAAGGAAAGAGAAGCATAGGGATGCGTAAAATGTCTTGGCTGCGCTACCTGAGAGTGGTACAGGTGTACATCAAAAATAAACTGTTCAGAATCTATTTGATTATTGAAATTTGATATTTTAACTATATTTTTATACAGTTAGTTTTACCATTTTATATTTTTATAATATTATTTTATATCTTATGAATATTCCATTTTGGTTTTTTAGGATTTAAATATTTAAAAACAATGCGCCCTTTTTTTAAAGAGTTGTTTTTTTCCGTGTTTCTTTTTTTCTTTCTTTCCCATCTATTTTTTTTTTGTATTTCTAACCTCTATTAACGACCCCGCCATTATCTATCAGAACTGAGCAACGGTTTTTTCGAACATGGAGTGTATTCGTTATTCTTTGTGTTAATTTTGTGTTAAAGTTCGGATTATCATCACATAAGAATGGTCTCATTTTGTTGAATATTTCTCTTGCCATTTTAGTTTTACATCTAGTCTTAAAATCCAGGTCTAGGTCTTATCGTTATCGTATCCATACGCCTTTTTTTGGAAAAATATTAAAAATAACTAGATAATTTAATATGAGAATATAACACCTCATAGTAATTACTTTTTTATGATAAGCTTTTGTAAATTATAAAATAATCATTTCCTCTTTTTTTCTAAAGCATCTCTTTTATCCTTAGCCCATTTATTAAACCTGGTTTGTTGCTTTCCCAAGTTGGTCTTGTTGTACCATTTCTGATATTTTCTCCACATTTTGTCAGTTACCGGTGTGATATCATGTTGAATAAAATATTCGTAAATTTCTTCGGATTTGAGAGGCTTAAAATGGAGCTGGATGATTCTCCTAGGTACCAATATGTGTTCTAGTACTTCTCTGAGTACAGGAAGGGGATAGTCTTTCGTTACCTAAAATTAAACATTATTTAATATAAAATTTAATTTTGTGGGTCTCCGTTTTTAATAAAAGATGTTTTTAATTTTAAAATCCAGTCGCCATATTCTCAGTATTTTGATATATTATCTTTATATCTCCTCTTTGATATCTTTTAATTTTCTGGGTTTGTACAAGTTAGTTTACTTTTTACAATTTGTGTCGCAAATGCGTGGTGTTTTATATATTTAAAGGCAAGGATTTTGCCCATTTCAAACTTAAAAACTCTTGTTGTAATTTTTCTATTACCCTACAGAATCTTCGTCCCTAAAAATCATAAGGTAGTTTCTCTTTGAAATCACCCCGAAGTATGAGCGGAACACAAAATGTACCAATACTCATACTCTTATGAAACGCGCCTGGCGGATCATAAGAGCCTTCACATTTTACTCTTCTTCAACTTGTCTTGAGTGAAATGTCTTTAATCTTTTTCTATCAGCCTCTCTTGGCTAACTCTTGTTTTCTTCCGACCCCGAATGGCGATTAGGTTTCCGAAGGCAGACGGGTCACTATATTTCTTTCTAATATATTCTTCCCATCCACACCTTCTTTCCCTCCCTATCCTACCCAACAAAAATACGTAGAAAACCAAATGCAAAAAATCCGTAAGTTAAGGTGGAAGCTATCGTGCTAAAAACTGAATGGTTGCACGTCACGCGGCCGCTAACGATGCTCTTGGGACACTGGGCGAAATCCCATTGAATATTAGCCTCGTTCCTGTACGCGGGGCTCTACAGGCATCAACCAACGTTCCCCAGCTACTCGTGGGAATAAATATGAATACTCACCAACATGCTAGGCAAGCACGGTATTTAAATGCCAAAAACCTGACCACTGTAAACCAACCCTATTCAATGTGCGTCAAAAAGATAAACCTCAACATCGCCACATATAATGCTCGGTCACTCTCTACCGAGAGATTCGAAGAAATGGAGGAAGAACTCTCAAAAGTGAACTGGGATATTGTAGGTATCAGCGAAGTTAGAAAAAAGGAAGAAAGTCTCACCCTCACCCTCTTACCTCACTCCCATCAGGCCATTTATTTTATTACAAAGGAGAAGAGGAATCGACAGTCGGAGGCGTCGGCTTCTTTATTCACAAAAGAATTGCTAACAGAATTGTGTCAATAAACCAAATATCAACAAGAGTGGTCTACTTAAACATCAAAATAAACGCCAGATATATCCTAAAGTTCATTACGCCCCTACTACAGGACATCCAGACGAAGAAGTCCAAATATTCTACGACCAAATATCCTGTACAATCAAGGAAAACCCTGGCCACAATAATAGGTGGTGACTTAAACGCCAAAATTGGCACTAAGGAAGACCCCTCTGAAATAATATTGGGAAATTTTGGAAGCGAAGGCAGAAATGATAGAGGCAAACAACTACTGACTTTCCTTTTGGAAAACAATTTCTATCAAATGAACAGCATACCATTCTTATGCATACACCTGCATAAGAAAAGCCATCACACCCCATGAAAGAATCACAGCAATTCTTAGAACTCTCCTGAGAATCCTTTAAATCGTTTATAATTTCTATTGTCATCCTTGGTATTTTGATTATTTAAAAGTTCCAATTGGTCGACGTACCACAAAGATGGTTCGTATATATATATATATACAAACAACACAGTTTATTAGGGTTGCAGTCAGAATTATTGGCCGGGATGTTAAAAAAAACACTCTTTTGACTTTTTGTCGAGCTTTCGGAATATTTTTATTCCTTTTTCAAGACACTGTAAAAGACAATTATGTAAGTATTTAAAAATAATATCACCATTCTTCAGTGTAACTTACTAGTCGTTGAGATTATTTTTGTAAGCATTGAACACTCAACATTAATACCACACATTAAAATATACAATTATGGACATAATACATCATAAAATTTTTAAAAATTTGTTGTTAAAAATAGTAAAACTTGATTGATGGCATGTTTTACTGGTGTATATTAACTCATACAGAGAATGGAAAGAAAAAACAGTGTAATTAATATGTAATTAGGTGTAAATTGATGTTATCTTTCTTTACAAGCATTACTAGAGGCCTTTCTTAGGTGTCTATAATTTTTAACCTGTCTTAATGGTATGCAACATATTATACAGAGGTGTAATTTTTTGTACAGGTAAATATTTATTTTATTTTTATTTTTGGTGTTTTTTCTAGTAAATAACAATAAATGTTACTTAATTTGTCTATATCGGACTTTTTATTGATACAAGATGTGCTAGATTTTATGAAACACATTTCCAAGAAAACACGTTTTAAATGGTTCTTTTCTTTTGCCAAAATACAGGAATCATCGAACTTGAACTCATGTTTTAGACTTAGTGCATGTTCTGTCAATGCACATGCATTGATTTTTTTGGTTTTTATGTCACTGCGATGTGATATCACCCTGCTGTGAAAATTACGAGATGATTCTCCTATGTAAATTTTATTGCAGTTACTACACGGTATAGAATAAACAACATTCGATGACTCCTGTATTGTGAAAGGATCTTTTGTCTTTGTGTAAAGCTTCGATACTGTTTTCACATTTTTGGTTGTAATTTTTAAGCCACTAACATTTTTAAAGATGTTCATTAGCTTAGGTGTCAAAAATGGAATATAGGGTAGGCAACCATAAGTTATTTTAGATGGTAATATTGCTGCGTTATGTGTCAATGTCAATTGTCGGATCTCATTGTTATGAAAATTTTGGTTGACAGAAACTTGTGAAGGAAAAGGAGAACCAAAAATGAGTTTGTTTAACAGTTTGTTAAACATATATATACAATATGTTGCATACCATTAAGACAGGTTAAAAATTATAGACACCTAAGAAAGGCCTCTAGTAATGCTTGTAAAGAAAGATAACATCAATTTACACCTAATTACATATTAATTACACTGTTTTTTCTTTCCATTCTCTGTATGAGTTAATATACACCAGTAAAACATGCCATCAATCAAGTTTTACTATTTTTAACAACAAATTTTTAAAAATTTTATGATGAATTATGTCCATAATTGTATATTTTAATGTGTGGTATTAATGTTGAGTGTTCAATGCTTACAAAAATAATCTCAACGACTAGTAAGTTACACTGAAGAATGGTGATATTATTTTTAAATACTTACATAATTGTCTTTTACAGTGTCTTGAAAAAGGAATAAAAATATTCCGAAAGCTCGACAAAAAGTCAAAAGAGTGTTTTTTTAACATCCCGGCCAATAATTCTGACTGCAACCCTAATAAACTGTGTTGTTTGTTTATATCGACAGTCAATAATATCCAGTATTTCTTATATATATATATATATATATATATATATATATATATATATAATATATATATATATATATATATATATATTATATATATATATATCTATCTTCTTCATCAGTTCCAGAGATAACTGATGCCCTCACTTTTTTAAATATTTTTTTATAAACCAATCCTAATGAGTTTATTTTTTTGTACTATCTCTTTATTTGTCATCGTGTCTATTTCTTTCTAGATTTTGTAAGTTCCTTATATACGACGTTTTTTTATTACAGTCATTGTAGTCTTTATATTTTACTTTTCACAAACACGGAAAACTTTTCTACATTTCAATGAATTCCCCGAGATAATCGTGAATACATTTGACAATTCTGACATTATTAGAAATTTTTGGGGAAAAAGAAAGCGAACTGGACTGAAGCTAGTCGTAAATTCAGCCAAGATTGGAAGTCTTGTCTGAACATGAGTCTACACGTTTTATTTGTCCTATCAGTTTTCGTTAAAGAGTCCTTCTCCCATCAGTTCTTCAATCTTATCTTAAATTTGATTTTGATTTGACAAGACGTACGTTTTGCTGTTTATACAACACTTTTTATTGGATACGATTTCTCATGTCCTATAAAACGTCCACTAAAACTGGCCTTTATGCTACGATCTTTGCTCTCCGATATATAATTTCTTAAGGTTGTTGAACTCTGGTTACCTTTAATTGGTTTAGCCTCAAAATCGATGTAGTTAGCAAAGTGTAATAGCTGTTGTCATAAGTAAGAGTTGACTGTCTTGTGAGGACTTATTGTTTAAAATCATCTTCAGTTATTACTCTCGATGCGACTATCTTGAACTAACTTTACAACGCAGCCCATAACATATTTGTAGTAAAGTGATTTTTAAAACTTACCTTCGCAAGTGCGGTAACATTAAAGTTTCGGTCAACACCAGGATATCGCATTAATAGCTTCCTCCAGTACATATAGACACTGTTATAACCAGTTCTCGGAACCAAAATATGCCTTTCAAAAACTTTCCTTAATTTGGCTTGAGCCGCCCACGGTTGGTTAGTCACACCTAAACATAAATAAATATACAGGATTTACCAGATGAATTAACCATTACACTATGTATTACAGAAAAGGTTGTATACTTGAATCGAATATAACAGAACATTTAGATATATTATGTAATTCCACATAAAGAGTTGAGAAGGTCGACTCTTCTTCCTATGCTTTTATGCATTCAGATAATGACCACAGTTAAGCATTCTACTGAATAGAACACCTACACAGTTCCTCGATTTTATCGCTAAAGCAGAGTTGGTCCCCTAAAATCGGAGGTCAATTCTTTCTTTAGTTTGCTGAATGGGAGCCGATAATGTTTAGATGTATTAAAAATATCTAAGTTGGAGTTGAGTGTTAATCCCCATCTCCTGCACCGTCTATAGATATGGTTCAGGTGAGTTCAAGCACACCTTTCGGTGATATCAGTATCTCGTGATGTTGTTCAGACAAACGTGTAAGAGTTATTGGATGGCAAAGAGAACTTTATGTAGAAAATTAATTTTATTTTCTACATAGTTTGTTTTTTATTTTAATAATTATTATTATTCCACTAAACTATCTTACTAAACTACATTCAAGTCTATACGATCAGCACGACATCCCTTCTTCGTGCTGTTTCGTATCTTCCGCGACTGTCAGAATTCTACATTAAACTATTCATTCAAACCCAACTACGCAACTACCCCTAACGCCACTTCGTTTTTGCTTTCTCAAATAGAAGGACGTAAGTCAAATCATTTTCTCAGTTTCTCAAATAGAAGCAAGATAGTTCTCACGCTTCTCAAATAACAGCAGTTTTTAAATAACATATTTTATTAAATAGTTAATTAAACTAAATTCAGTGTTTGTGCATCGAATATGTAATTATCTGTCTTTCTATAATATATGTGAATAATTTCTTCTGAAATTATTCTTTCATACAGAAGATAATCTACGGTTTTGTGCCAACATTTCATGAATGCCGGTCCGACAAATTACAGGGTTGCCGAATATTCAATAATCTACCTATAAGCTTTATTGTTCTATAACTTAATATAAACAGTTGTGTGTTTAAGAACATTGTATATAAACATTTATATTTTATTATTATAAAAAGGGTGATTTGTTGGCGATTCTCCTTTTTTTATTTATTTTTGTAAATAATATAATAAAAAGGTTTCTAGCTTTTATTCTTATTTTAATTATTCTATTGTTAACTTCACTACTCAGTACATCATTAATAATCCGCAATTTTGCGATCTATGATCGGTGGTCCTTCGAGGTTTTATTCATTATTTATCTACCAAAAGTAGGAAGGTGAGATTATAATTTTTCAAATATTTACTCTTAATTCATCGAACCAGCTACCTCATCCTTTCCTCTACACTTCATTAACAAGTCAAAGATATCTTACAAATATTTTGTTTAACCATGTAGTTCCATTTGCCCCTTACATAGAAAATTATTTCTGGGACCAACTGATTAAAGGTTATCCATGTGACCCAAGGTTAATATAAAGTTTATACAAATAAAGCAATAAGTATTACAAAACTTACCGAGGACTAACACTCTATCGGCTGGCTTAATACCTTTTATGATTGAATTAATTTTAGATCCAATTCTCTTAGGATTTAGTTCCTTGTCCTTTTTGGGAACTTTTTTATAGAATGGTTTCTCGGCTTCCCTAAAATATATAATAGAAGGAGCAAGAAGTTTGGACATTTTATCGATTAAGTGTAGTAACATTCGCATACCAGTAGGACCTTCGTATCTTCCCGATAGCGTTTCTGGAGAAAGATCGAATAAAACACACCTGGTAGCATTAAAAATGGCGTTTGCAAGAAGATGTTTTCCGCTTTTTTCAGGACCGAGTATAAGAACCGATCTAGGTCTTTTCATCGCTTCAACTCCTAGAGGAAGTATACAATTCATAACAACTGCTTGTCGGACGTCCAGTAAACCAGCCGGAGGATCAAAGTCCAGGTTTCTTAAGTCCCAGTTGTTATAATTAAAATCTCCATGAAAATCCTCTAAACTTACTTTGGGATAGGTTCTTATTATTTGGTTATCAACAAGTTCTTGGAAAAGCTGTTCTACTGGTATATTTCCCGTAAGATCTTTCTTGCCCTTTTTACCTTTTTTGCCTTTTTTCTTTTTACCTTTTTTTTGTTTCTTTCTTTTTATTCGTTTGAGTCCATAACGGACACGATCCTCATCTAAAGCATCGTTAAGTATGTCTAGTTCCACTCTCATCATGTTATCAACGATTTTTCGACATTCCAACTGATTTTCCAAGTACTGCTTTTCTGTTATAATATCTGTGTAATGTTTCTCTAAAGGATTGTCGTAGTCGTTTCGTAAATCCCAAATATTTAGGTGTTCTTCCATTCCCTCTCGATAAAGAGGATCTGCAACAGGTTCCTCAAAATCATACTCATATTCCCCTGGTTTTCTTTTCTTTTTTTTCGCCGCTTTAGCTGCAGCTATCTTCTTTTTTTGTTCCAACTCCTTTTTCTTTTTATCTTTTTCAGCTTTTTTCAGCTTCTCCCTTTCTTTTCGCTCCTTTTCTTTTTTTGCCTTTTCGCCTCCTGCTTTAACTTTTTCTCTACGTTTTCTCTCAACTTCATCTAAAAATTCTTTTGGCGTCATCGTTTCCCCACGCACTACTAAGATAGTTCCGCCTTTATCTTCTGGAGGAATGTTGTCGAACTGTTTTACTTCTTTATACCAAACTCTAAACCATTCTCTTATTTCGTCTCCTATGTCCTCCATGAGTCCAGGTGCTACCACCCTGAGAATTCTAGCTTGTTCACTATCTATAGCTTGGATGTACTCTCTTATTCTTTGGTCTCGATATTCCCTTCTTTTTTCTAGATTAGATTCAAAGGTTTCTTTATATTCTAAATTTCTCCAGACTGGTTCATACATTCCTATTAGAAATCTTCTTTGGGATTCAGTGTATTTGTCCCTTTTCCTTGAAGCAAACCCTCTCCAAGCACTTTGAACTTTAATACTTGCTTCAACTTCTGCATTTGCTTGATTTTTTACAAGCTCTTGTAAATCTTCTTGTTTTACCTGATTTTTGGCCTGTTTATCCTTCAATTGTTGCGTTTGATTATAAAACATGCTTTTAACAAGAAAATACATCCTTCCTTGTCTAGCTCTTTCAGCAGTTTGTATTAACAGAATATTTTCTGTCCTTAACTGTATTCTTTTAATTTCATTATTTTCTTCACTAGATAATGTTGGTTGTTCTTCAACAATTACTTTCTTTCTCTCCCGTTTTTTCTTTTTGGATGCGTCAGTTTCCTGCTCATCGTTCGCTTCTTCTGATTGCTGCAAACCCTTTAATATTGATTTTGTCACAAAAATATCGCCTTCTTGTTCCTTTTCTGAAGTTTCCAATGGCGCAGGTGCAAAAATTTTTTCCCCTTTTTGTATCTTCTTCCACATATCTTCTACATCTATAGGTCTGTGATGGAATAACGCTGGATGCAGTATTTCTACATCATAAGGAACAAGTTTTAGTTCTACCAAAGTCCCATCTATGTAATGGTACTCTGAAAGATCCAGTTCACGCAAAATGGCATTAAATTCCATAAGTCTAACAGCTGCTGCGTCGACAATCTTTTTCACCGTTATACGTTTTTGTGGTTGAACCATTTGGTCTATGCAATTATCCAAATCTTGGTATAACATACAGTATCTGGCATAGAAATCTCCAAAGAGTAGATTGGCCATTATTCGATCATTGACAGGTTTCTCTCTTCGCCTCCAAACCTCATCTTTTAGCGTTAGATTTTCTAGATTTTTCTTTGTAATTATCCATTTATTAACGTAATAGTCAAACGACATGGTATTTATTGTATTTAAAGTACTACAATTTTTTGATATATGACAGATTTCATGTAAACATGCCAAATTTGACAGTTTTTATGATTTTTTACGTGTACGTCACCACATCCTACCTATGGATATTTTTATAATTGGTCACTATAAAGTCTATGTATTATTTAAGTGAATACTTCTTATTGCTCGGTTTGATGGTTTGACGATCCCGAAATCCTATTTAGCCTGACTCAAAAAATCTAGACGCGTGTAGTAACGAGTGTAGTGTAAACCTTTCGGTTCACCGTAATTACACAAAATTTACATACACGTACATCACCATCACAATCATTGGCTCCACAACCCATGGTGGGTCTTGGCCTGCTCAAGGATAAGTCTCTATTGTCTCCTATTCTTCGCCTTGGCTTTCTAGTTTCGTACTCTCAACATTCTCAAGTCTTCCTACACCTGATCCTTAAATCGTGGGGTCTGCCTCTCCTTCTCACTCCATCTATTCTTTGGTTATATACATACAAATACACTTATTATAATTATATATATTATATTTTTGGAAGCATAGCTTTCTTATCGCTGGCTACGTATGGAGCGGTGGAACACGCTGAGACGTGTAAAACCGACACTAAAAACTATAATGACTGAAACGACATACCGCGCGACCACACACTTTGCGCGACCACTCACTACATGAAATAGTAAACGCAGTGCCGTATGTATTTAGTAAAAAAAAATAAAATAGAATAAAATAAAATTTTTTATTTTTTATGGTAGTAAGGCAAAATTTAAGATTCAAATAAATTTCAGTCTTTTGATTGTTAATCTACAGTATGGTAGTGGATATCCATAAGTACTTTAGACTGTCTACAAAGAGAGAACTTATACATATTGACATCTGGTTCATCCATCAATGCCTTAAGCAACTTTTAACACCTAAGTTTGCTGTATGTAAAACATCCAAGAACATACCAACAAAGTTTAAAACAGATTTGGAAAGAAAACTCCTTAGAAAAGAAATTTGTCTACATTATGCCAAGATCAACAATATCAACATCGAACTTAAAATATTATTCTCTTCCTATTGCAGGGGTAACCTCTTCCTATTCAGACTTTCAACAATCTCTTCAAGAACATCAAGATGATTTAGCATTGAGTAAGAATCTTAAATATGAAAGACTTAATAAAAAACTAAACAAATTAAAATCTGATCGATCAGGTAATAATCAACAACATCCTTTTAATAAAAATAATAATAACAACAGGAATCAGGTGAGTCAACAATCCTCTTCTTATCATATATTTCATGAAAGGGTTAAAAACTTGTCAAATTGCAATTTTACAAAACCAGAACTTGATTTTTTGAGTAAGGGTCTCAAATTTTGTATTAAAACTAAACCTGATTTAAATAATATTGAGTTACTCTGTGTAGAGATTGATAGCATCATAGATAGTTTAAACATCACAAACACTGTAAAAACCAACTTAAAAATGTCTTGTCTTTTTGCACTAAATCAGTCTTATCAAAAATACTATTCTAACAATAAGGTTATGTCAACTTTTCATACACAATTTAAACTGGTTAAATCTATTTCTAATAAAATTAAAACTCATAAACTTATAATAACAAAAGCTGACAAAGGAAACTGTCTTCTAATCCTGTACAATAGTGATTATGTTAACAAAGTAGAATCTTTTCGATCCAACAACTCATTTATTCCACTTAACAAGAACCCAATGAATAAACTTATAAATGATCTAAAATCAAACATTTCTAATGCAACTAATTTGTTTCAAGAACTTGGAACTAACCCCAAAACTTTCGGTCTCCCTAAAATTCATAAAGCTAATGTTCCAATAAGACCTGTAGTTAGTTTTGTCAATACCCCACTAGCTTCACTAGCAAAATTTATCAACACTCTTCTACTAGATCTACTTAATTACACTCCCAAATATACGATTGCCAACACTTTAGATTTAATCTCCAAAATTTCTTCTCATACTCTTCCGAATAACTTCACTATGGTCTCTTTCGATGTAACAAATCTGTTCACCAATGTTCCCAGATTAGACACCATTCCAATCATCAATAACCTTCTACAAAGAAAAACCATTGACCAAAATAAATGTTCACAAATTACTTCTCTACTCCAATTTTGCCTTTCCCAAGATTTCTTTATCTTTAACGATAAAATTTATAGACAACCAGAGGGTTTAGCAATGGGAAATCCTTTATCTCCTCTACTTGCAGATCTTTTTCTAGACTCTCTCGAAACTAACTTTGTTCATTCTCAACCACAAATAATCCTATGGTACAGATATGTGGATGACATTTTAGCCTTTATAGAAGGCTCACCTTCAGAACCTCACAATATTTTGTCAATAATTAATAATCTACATCATGCAATTAATTTTACCTTAGAAGTAGAAATCAACAACATTATCAACTTTTTAGACCTAACTATCAAAAATAATGCTTTCTCCTCTTCTTCTTTGCCTACACTAGAATTTTCAATATTCAGAAAACCTACTCAAACTGACCATACGATACCAACATCCTCAAATCACCCTTTTCAACACAAGATGGCAGCTATTCAATGTTATGTCCACAGACTTCTTAATATCCCTATGTCTCAAGAAAATTACAATAAAGAAATCTCCATCATTAAACAAATAGCAAACAACAATGGTTTTCCTTCTACTACTGTTGATAAAGTCATTAGAAAATCTATACTCAAAAAGAGACTAAACCAAGCTTTTAATGTTGATAAAAAATCCAACACTACTTCCATATATAGATCCTTATCTTACTTGGGACCAATTTCAGAAAAAATTTCAAGAGTCCTTGTTAATAAAATCAGTGACTTAAACATCTCCTTTAAAACAAAATATAACATCAAGTCCATCTTCAGCAAGACCAAAGACAAAGTTGACAAACTAAACAGAAGTGGTATTTACAAGCTGTCCTGTGGTGACTGTAATATGACTTATGTAGGTAGAACAATGAGAACTCTGAATCAAAGAATCAAAGAACACCTTAATAACCCAGAATAATTAAACTTTGGATTTCACATTAAATTTAATAATCATTCCTTTTCTCCTTCTGAAAACAGTAAAATTTTACACAACATTCCCAATAAAAACTTTAGACTTATGAATCTCTTGGAAGATCTTGAGATATCCAAAGAAATGAAACTAAACCCTGATTGTTGCTTAAACACACAAATCAACCTCAATTGCAATTATAAACCTCTTTTTAAATTATTATGGGAGACTTTAGAGGAAGAAGGGTGACCTCATGCAATCTTATTATATTTTTTCATAATTTTATATTTTTAAAACAAAATTTTAAACTTTATTAGAAATTTACAACATTTTGTAATTCATTTGACAGTTATTCTTAATTGAAACATGAAAATATATTCTTAAAAAATTTTTTATGCAAATTTCTTACAAATTTCCATCAAGAGATACAATTCTCAATACACTTAAGTATCAGATAATGTAACATTAATACCATGTTTCTTCTTTATTATTGTTGAACAGTTTGAGCCCTTGTTTCTTAAGGATGGCTGTCAGATTGAACATACATTGACCTTGAGCATTGACTTGAGTGAATTTACAAACTAATGTCATTCTGTATGATGTGATGAACACATAAAATTTAATTTAAAAACTTAATTTTTAGAAAGTCTTTGATGACTATTAGTAATTCCAAACTATTAAATAATTTTGTAAGAATTTAAAAAACAATCTCTATTTCCTATATATGACATTTGTCAACGGTCACTTTTGAAAAATTGTTTAAAAGGACCGACATTTGATTTCATTAGTTCTATTCTGTCTACCTCCTCACATCAGTCAATAGTCGGGTTCTTTCATCCGTGTACCATGACAAAAAAAATTTTCAATTTTTGAACGTGTCTGTGAAGTCTAGTGTCGGTTTTTTTATATGTTTTTTATATGTTTTTTAAGAATTTCAACAACTAAAAAATCATAATTTCAACATATATGGAAATGAGATCTCTCCATTGTAGTGGTATTTATAAATTGACGTAAGTTAAAAATTATAATCTTCACCAATTAGTGCTTATAAGAACATTTTATTGTAGCATAGCTCTGATGATGGCTTTGTAATGCCTAAAGCGCTCAGCTTCTTCTTCTTCGGGTTCCTTCTCCTAGCGGAGGTTGGAAATCATCATCGCTATTTTAACTTTGTTGGCCGCATTTCTGAATAATTCTAATGAGCTGCAGCCGAACCACTCTCTCAAATTTCTTAGCCAGGACATTTTGCGTCGTCCTGGGTTTCTATTCCCTTGTATCTTCCCTTGCATAATCAACCTCAGTAATACGTACTTCTCACCCCTCATTAAATGTCCCAGATATTGAATCTTTCTAATTTTAACAGTTTTTATGACTTCACATTCTTTCTTCATTCTTTGTAACACCTCTATATTAGTTACTTTTTCAGTCCACGATATTTTATGCATTCTCCTGTAGCACCACATCTCAAAGGAGTTTAATTTTTTGATTTCAGACTGCTTTATTGTCCACGCTTCCATGCCATATAGTAAAGTAGAGAAGACGTAACAACGTAGCATTCTTGTGCGAATCTCTAGATTAAGGTTACGGTTGCAAAGTAATTTCTTCAATTTTATGAACGTGTTTCTTGCCATTTCTATTCTAGATCTGATCTCCTTTACTTGATCTCCATCTTCGGTTAGCCACGTTCCTAAATATTTATATGTTTTTACTCTTTCTATCGTTGTATTATTGATGATCAGGTTATTTACATTTTGTGGTTTTTTTGAGAATATCATTGATTTCGTTTTCTTGAGATTCATTTGCAGTCCGTAACTTTCACATGCATTGTATACATGTTGTATTATGTACTGTAGATCTTCCATGTCACTTGCAAATATGACAGTATCGTCGGCATATCTAATATTATTAATGCTATTTCCGTTGACATAAATACCTTCCACGATATCCAATAAAGCCTCTTGAAAAATCACTTCACTGTAGACGTTGAATAAGAGTGGTGAAAGG